CCTTTCTCTAGTCCAAGATTTTCACAAAGCAAATCAAGAAGATACACTGCCAATTTCTATAGTTCTGCTGCAAATTCCTTCATAGTCTTCTTGTTTTCATTCATAAAATATTCAACTAAGATCGAAAATAGCATATGTTGAAAATATTGTTCAAATTTGATAAAAAAACGATTCTAAAATAATGTGGAATGAAAATTAATATTGGAGGCCAAATTCACATAGGCCAAATGCATAGACCAAGGCAGGGATTATCCCTACCGTGAAGAGAACTACCCAGTCGCATAGTGTTGAAATATGCGGTCACATAGTGTTGAACTATGCGACCGCATAGTAGGCCAAAAGAGTCTTAGTGACCGTTTTGTTCAAATTTTTGGTGGCTTTTGGAGGGTTTTTGGCACCACTTCATATGACCATGTCTCTTGGCTATATATAGGTGGTTTGTGATCATTATAATGTTATTGAAAACATATAAAAACCATAGTCATATTCAAGAACAAAAATAATTCCAAAAATAACAAGAAATCACAATTTTCTTCATCATATTCAAATTCTTCTTTAGTGTTCTTCAAGTTTTGGAGAATCACACTTAATGCCTGAGTGTTAATTCTTTACAAAGCTTGTTTAAATCATACAAACCATTTGCCTTAATCCCTACAAGAGTTATTTCAATCCGAAATGGGGCAAATATAATTTGAGGACAGCGATATCGTGTTCAAGCCATTGGTGTTCGTTTTCAAATCCGTTCATATTTTGGTGTTTAGTTCGTTGCTTTCATTGATGATCTTTTTTTTCTGGTTTTGGTTCATTGCTTTATTCTCCGATCTCTCAAGTGGAGGTCATTAAATTTCTCAACATTCTCAAACTATATCCTTGCGCAATAGAGAATAAAAGCAGTATTGCTACAATAAAGTTGATGAATCAAGACCATGTACGGCTGGATCGTTTTGATGGAACGAATTTCACAAGATGGCAAGATAAACTGAAGTTTCTACTAACAGTGTTAAAGATAATTTACATGCTTGATCAAGAATTTGTGCCACTACCGGAACCAACAAATGGAGAAACCGATGCGATGAGGGCCAAAATATAGAAGCGCTAAGAAGATGAACTCATATGTCGCGGTCACATTCTGAATGCATTATCGGGCCAATTATATGATCTCTAAACCAACATGACATCGACAATGAAAATATGGGATGTTTTGGAGAGTAACTACAAAGTTGAAGTAGAAGACATTAAGAAATTTTTAATCTCAAGGTACTTCTATTTCAAATTTCTAGAGAATATTCCACTTATTCCACAAATTCATGAATTGCAAGTGCTTATCAACATGTTGAAGGCAGTCAAGATTGAGATTCCAGAAACTTTTCAAGTGAGAGCAATCATTGGTAAACTTCTCGGAACTTGAAAAGGATACCAGAAGAAAATAATGCATAGTTCCATAGACTATTCTTTGGAACAATTGCAAAAACAT